AGTGGTGCAATACTGTACGCATTCCGAATTCGGGCAGAGGCATTCTGTTCCATCGAGTTGTATGCAATCGGCCCATTTGAGCCGTGACGAATGCCATGACGTTCTATGGCATGTGAGCCAAGGTGTCACGTATCTGTTTTCGTCCATTTTTCTAACAGAGGCAAGGAAACGGCCGGAGACACCGTCCGAAACGAAACGGATGGATTGAAATGGCTGCGAGGTGGTATGAAGTGGATTGAAAAAAAAGTCCTTCGTGCCTTTTCAGTATCCTATCCGGGCACTTTGAGAACATGCCGTATATTTTCTCTCCCACAGTTCTTCGTCTCGCCTGTGCAGCTTCTACAGCCAAGCAGAAACGACAAAGCGAGGTAAATGATGCATTTGAATAGTTTACTAAAAAGGAATTCAGACAATGTTTTCATCTGTCGAAACGAACAGTACATATCTTGTGCGACGAACTTGGCCCTATCATTAGATGCCAGCGAGCCAGTGGCCTGAAAATATACACCAATGTGAAACGAATCGCCCAGACCATTAGACGATCACTCACGTTTGTGCCTCTTTGATAGCGGCGGCGTTGCAGCGGGCCTGATGCACTTACGCTGTGGCTCAGTCCCTCCTCCATTGTCCGGACAGACAGACGGACGGATGGATGGACAGACTAACAGACGGAAAGACGGTCACCAATGAAACCCATTTAGGCTTCGCCCCACTCATATCTTCACTCCATGGATATGCTGCAATTTATTATTTTTTTTTCTGGCCAAACCCGACATAATTAAGCACGTCACTTAGCTCCTGCCACAACCGCCGCCAGTCGGTGACGATGAAGCCGTGCTCCAGCTCGATGGATTTCGCTGCAAGCTGGGGATGCTCCTCCATGAAGGCGAGTGCCATCGCGGGCCGAGCTTCGGAAAAGCAGAGGAGACGCTCTTTTTGGCTACTGGTTGAGGTGCCCTCCGTCATGATTTTGATCGACTGAGCCAATTACTTCAAAAGTCGTGTTGTTTGAATTTAAATAGTGGTGGAGAACTGACTACAGCAAGTGCTTGAAACGGGGTAGTACCTAATGCCATCACTAAATGTTCCGCTAAATAGCGGCATCACCTAGCGTCATTTCAAAACAATAACAGGAAAAATATGTTGCAATTGGGCCAGATTCCATATTCAACATTTGAAAATTAGTATCTACACATTTTACTAGTGAAGTGAGCAATAATAGTTAAACATTCCTCAACATGTTAGAAACACTTCTCAACTTGCTATACTGTCCCCAAGCCGACGTCAAAACAGTGACGCAGACCTCCATTTGCCTCATCGGCTGCTTGCTTCCCCTCGTCCTCGCAACCCATGCGGACTGTCCCCTTTTTGACTTCACGAACGGCACGCCTCTACCTGAATTTGAAATGTAGTCGAGAGTTCGACGGAATGCCGTCTGGTCAGGTAAAGGCATTGTTGAAAAAACAGGTCACTGACCAATGTCAAATAAAAACAAAGACGTTTCGGGATCCGTACGGATCCCTTGTTCACAATGGGATGACGGCTGAGCACCAGGTTCTTATGTAACGCTGAGCGCATGACGCAAAGTCCGGGAGTACACGTGGTTTAGTGTGCCAGATGATCTATTGATTGTGTTACTTGTCGTTTGAATGATTTCACTAATCATTCAAACGACAAGTAACACAATCAATAGATCATCTGGCACACTAAACCACGTGTACTCCCGGACTTTGCGTCATGCGCTCAGCGTTACATAAGAACCTGGTGCTCAGCCGTCATCCCATTGTGAACAAGGGATCCGTACGGATCCCGAAACGTCTTTGTTTTTATTTGACATTGGTCAGTGACCTGTTTTTTCAACACTGAATTTGAAATGCATACAAAATTGCACCACAGACTGCGCTGTGCATGCTCTTGCTTTAATTCAGGTCCTGCTTCGCAAGTTCCTCAAAAGTGCACCAGACATCGATCACTCGGCACAGGATAATCACGCACGACAACACACACCCGATCAACCAGCAGCACCCTTACCACGTGTCGACACAAGAACGCCAAGCAATTCGTACGCAAGTCCGAGAGATGCTTGACAATGGCGTCATCGAACCATCCAACAGTCAGTCCGAGATTGTCTCCGGTCACCCTTGTCAAAAAGCAAGACTGGACATTACGCTTCTGCGTCGACTACCGGAAGCTTAAGAACGTGACCAAAAAGGACGTGAACCCACTGCCGTGTATCGACTTGTTGAATAGTTTTCATTGTGCCCACTATTTCTATTCTCTCGATCTGAAAAGTGAGTACTGGCAAATCAAGGTAGATGAGCGAGACCACGAGAAAGCAGCCTTCGTAACTACAGGCGGCCTCTACCAATTTCGAGCACTTAGTTTTGGCTAGTGTTCAGCGCTTGCAACTTTCCAGCGAATGATGGACACTGTCCTCACAAGGCTGAAGTCTTGTCTTGTGTACCTTGATGATTTGCCGGTCTCTTCTGCCACGTTCGAGCAGCACCTTCACGACCTGCGCACAATTGCTGGAGGCAGACCTCACACTAAAACCCCAAAAGTGCCACTTCGATTATGAGGGACTCAAAATTTCTTTGACATGTAGTTGACGACGAGAGGGTCTGGCTTGATCCAAACAAGTTTGTTGCTGTTGCCAAAATACCATCTTTTGTCGATAAGATTGCCATCTGGCGCTTTCTTGGTTTGTGTGCCTACAATTGCAGGTTCATGCACAGCTATTCACAGACAGCGAAACCGTTGATTCGCCTCACAAGAAACGACACACCATTTGTTTGGGAGAATGCCCAACAAGCAGTTTTTGCTGAACTGTGACAGCAAATGCAATCAGTGTTCATTTTCGCTAATTTCGACCATTATGCTGACACAGATGTGCATATTGACGCTAGAAACATTGGTCTCTGTAAACTGCTCGTTCAGTTTGAAGATGGCATCGGAAGAGTCATAGTCTGTGCCAGCCACTCTCTATTCCATGCTGATGCAAATCATTCCACTACGAAAAAAGAGTGTGTTGCAGTTGTGTGGGCAATCAACAAGATTTGCCAGTACCTTTATGGTCGTCCCTTCAAAATAGTGACAGACTACCATGCCCTCTGTTGGTTGGCAAACATGCACAACCTTTCGGGAAGACAAGCATGGTGGAGCTTGCGGCTGCAGGAATTCGACATCACCATAGTTTGTAAGTCCGACCGTGAGCATGAAGACACTCGCACACTGTTGCACACTCCCCTTTGTGTCGTCAGTCAGGGAGCAGAGGATGACAAAGGTTTCCTGGCTGCCATTAGCTCATGAGAATTGAGCGGATAACAGCGCTATCACGAAGAGATTCGATCAATCATCGATCATTAAGAGAGCCACGACACAACCGTACCACATCATCTGTCTCGCTCGTTGACTGAGAGACAGCGTGCTACACAAGAAGAACGCCCCTTTCAACGACTGTGCTTACCTCCTGGTGGTTCCTCAACACATGCAAGACGAAGTTTCCTTCGCTTGTCATGGTGAACCCACATCTGGTCACGTGGGCTACTCAAGAGCACTTGCTAGAGTGAGTGAGAGATACTATTGATCCGGATTTCATCAAGCATCAAACAGTAGATCAAGGGCTCTCGGGAATGCCAGTGCCAAAAGCAACCATCTATTCGACCAAGTCGGCATAGACATTCGCAGGCCATTTCCCCTGTCAGCTGATGGCAACAAATAAGTGATCGCAGTCACTGACTACTTACCACGCTACACTGCGACGCAGACATGCCCGCGAGCTACGGCTTTCGAGGCAGTGCAATTTTTCATGCACCACATCGTATTGCATCACGGTGCACCTTTTAGCGTGATAACAGACAGAGGGACAGCCTTCACGGTACAGCTTATGGTCCAAGTTTTTCAACTAAGCAACACCAGGCATCCAAAGACAACCACGTACCATCCGTAAACCAACGGGCTTACCGAGTGACTGAATGAGACGCTTGCAGACATTATTGCAATGTATATCGCTGTGAAACACAAAACACACGACCGAATCTTGCCGTGACCTTCGCGTAACACCGCCGAGCAAGAGACCACGCGAGTTACGCCATTTCGGCTTCTCCATAGCCTCAAAGTGCAGACAGTGGACTCTATGCTTCCTTGTCAAGATGACGAGTTGGCAACCGACACCGAGGAATTTGTAGAACGTAGCGAGGAAGCTTGACAGTTTGCGAGACTACACGTCAGCCAGCAGGAGCAGATAGACGCACGACGCTATAACACCCGCCACGGGGAAGGTCTGCAACTCCGGAGACCAACCAAGTTTGGGTGTGGACGCCCGTTCGGCGCTGATGCCTCAGTGAAACGTTACTCAGCCGATATTTTGATTTGTATAAAGTGCTACGCCGCGTTAGTGACGTGAACTACAAAGTGGTCCCGGACTTAACACCACAGGCACAAACCACGCAATACCAAGCTCAGACATAGTTCATGTTGAGTGCATGAGCCGTTCATTGCGTGTTGGTAACATTTTGTCTTCCTTCAATGGTCTTTGTGTTTTCATTTATTTTTGCAAACTTGCTTGTTTGTTCATTGACTTTTTTCTCACGTTCATTTTCTACTTTCCCTTAATCAGAGTTTTAATTTCCTTTTTTTTCCTTCACGCACCTATGTTATAGAATCATGGCGGCACTACATTCTTTTCTTGTTCTCTCTTTGGTTTCTTGTCTTTTTTGCTGAAGGGTGAATAATGTTATGAGCAAGTTCGAGGGCAAGAGAAAAAAAAAGAAGATTGCGTGCGCCTTCTTCGCTCGAAAGCCACCCGTGACCGACATGCTTTTTGAGAGCTGGCTACACCGTGGTTAACCCCTGCACTTTTGAAGTCTGATGACAGTATCTAGTGCACCCTAATTTGCGCCTAAAGAAAATATCTAGTGCCACAGTCAAACATACCTCAACAGATCCATATGATCCCTATAGATCACTACATAATAATAGCACATGTAAATGAAGATCACCTTGTTCCACCTTGGACAATCCTGGGGGATCCCACTGAGGCACATGGGATATGATGGCCTCCACAGCTTGGCTGGCTGCGATGCGTGTGTCCCATGATGAGCTGTGCAGGTATCTTCGCACCTGTAACACCACAAGAAAGGGCTTGGCCATTAGAAAATAAAAATGGACAAAAAACACTTTTTCTTTTTACAAGGCCAGGGGTGCAACAGCCAAAATGAAATTCGAAGCAGCAAATTGCTACTTTTGGAGCATTAAAATCCCAATTTCAAATAGCTTATACAAAAAAACAAATTTTTTTATCATGAAAAAAAAAACAAAATTTAGGGCAGTAAAAAAATAAGGCTTATACACACATGTAAAAAACATTCAACCAACCAAAATCATGCAGAGTGAACATGAGCACTGCTATTTGAATAAAAGTACTATTCTGAATTACCACATTCAGCACAGTACTGTCAAGGCAGTTCAAGGGTGCATAGACCCTGCACTGTGCAGTGCCCTGGGGAAATGCCAAAATAGTTTAGCACATTCCCTTGGGCTTTACTTTATTCATTTATTTATCGAATACATACAGCACTTTCATAGGCATTGCAATGGGGGAAAAGTGGGTGGGGAAGGTAAATAAAGGACATTACACAAAGCATGGGTTACACGGAGAAAACGTTGAAACCTGATCATAACTATAATAGTACATCACAACATAACATGATTATGCCTATCACCTCGTAGCGACTGGACAAATGCTGCATTTGTATTTATGCTAACAATGTGTGCCGGTAACCGATTCGAGGCTATAATTGTATTGGGGAAAAAGGATTTGCTGGTACTTTTACAGGATACTTCTTTTACATTTAAGTCATGATCCACTCGCTTAGTTACGTAGTCAGGGTTGCTACGGAACACCAACAGTTAGAGGAGTGCTCTACACTCTGTGGGGTCTTGAAATAGAGAAAGCGCCACGTTCTTGGAGTGAACGGACACAGTTGACAGGGTCGGAACGAACCAAACAACACACATTTATTTAACTGCTTTTAGATGGACGATATCAGCTGAGTTAATATACATCAATTGTGATCCCCACGCTAAAACGTCCTTACACAATATTCCACAACACTCAACAACATGACAAACACAAGCGACAAACGCTTGGCTCAACACGAGGGCCCACGGCAGACAACCCGCGCTGCCGTGCACCGGGGACCCATTGCGAGAGACAACCGTTTGTGCCAACCACCAAGCGCCAAAGAGGCCCGCTTCTCTCTCATCAGTCGTCCCGCAGGCTTGCCGCCAGGTGCATTCGCCGGCGTTACCGTTCTAACCATGATGATGATGGTGGTGATACACGCTCGCGAGCACAACACTACCTACCGCTACATATATACCCCATTAAGTGGACAGAAGGCTAGCAGCCAAGGCAGCTCTGTTGGCAGAGCATCGGACATGTTATTCAAAAGTTGCAGGTTCAGTGACTGCCCGCGGAAAGTTGTCCAGTTTTCTTTCTTCATACTTAGATTTCATTTACTAATAACCCCCTCCCCTGCACTTTCCTTGTCAGTGTCGTCTGTTAGTTCTCATTAATATTGTGTCCAACAAAAAAACGAGCCCTTAGAATGTTCACTTCTTCCCTTTATCAATAGATATATGTGTGGCACCGAACTTGGGTACAGGCATCAATAGCGCCTTAAAAAAGCAAACACTGCTAAGTAGCCCGTGTCAGCACATTACAGCAGTGGCCTTGCCCTTACGCAGTGGTTTCTTGCTGCATAGAGCAAGGCTGGCGAACCACTCAGGCACACAGCCTGCAGAATTTGTTTTCTGCATCAAGATTCGGCCAGCAGAAGCAACTACCAATAACCGATATCTGTCATCGGTTATTCAATTTCGCATCTGAAAACAAGAGTTGAATGTACACAATTCAGCAGATTTCTGATATTTTTACTGTATCTTCAGTTTTCCTTACTGTTTTATGAAATACCATTTCATGCATAACGAACCTTGGCCAGGAGGTTGTGCAGTTCATGTGGATGCAGCTTCTGCACCTCGCCCAGCTGGACAGCCGCTGCTCGCCGCGTCACAGGTGAGGAGCCAGTGTCCAAAAGGAGGAACAAACGGTCCAGCCTGCTGGCAAGAAAGATGAAGCACACGTTCCAGTGGCATCCCCTCATGACACACAAAGACTAATAAAAGAGGAGCTGTGTCTGGAGAATGGCCTAAATGTGACTTCATAAGCTAAAGAGGCCCGGCAACACTTTTCCAAGTAACTATCGCATGATTTCATTAAAAGAGTTCATTGCCTCAGGAATCAACCACCAGAAAACATTTAGAATACATCAAATACAAGCGAAGTTGCAGAGATTTGCCCTAGAGATGTGCACAGGCTTCAGGTAGCCTAAAAGCCCAGCCCGCTGACCGGATTTGGGTGCGCAGACGTCTTCTCCTATTGGGCCCGCGCCGGGCTTGGGCTACAAAGCTTTCTATCGGACGTGGCAGATGCAAAGCCTGAATCAAGCCCAAAACATAGACGCTGTGCCGGAACTGTTCTTCCATCGCAAAGCACCTTCTCCGCAACTGCCCCCCGCTCTTTTTGCGGCAGATGCAAAGCATGACTCAAGCCCAAAACATAGACGCTGTGCCGGAACTGTTTTTCCATCGCAAAGCACCTTCTCCGCAACTGCCCCCCGCTCTTTTTCTCGATTGCCCTTTTCACTTTAAACGCGAACAAGATGAGCTTTGCGATTATCTATCCACAAAATAATCTCCGCTCTCACATTTCAGGTTTCTGAAAGAACAAATGGTCTAAATTTCATCTCCCACGCGTACTTTGCTCCGCGGAAAGAGGACGCTCACGCGTGCGTTCGCTTATCTCGCGGTGGAGACAAGTGTACGCCTTGGGCTTTCACCAGAACGATTCTGTTGTAGCCACCAGATGCACAAAGGTCACTGCACTCATTGCACAGTCTTCGTTTGCGAAATGGGCGTGCTTTTCAGACACAGCAAAGTAACAACTGAGACACGTACTCGCGTTCATATGTACCTGTGAGCCCGTTTCGTGCATCATATGCGTGTGAGAAACGCGGGGCACATTTCGATCTTCTTGTCATTCTTTGCACGACCTTCCAATTTGTTGCTTTCAAGTTCATTGCTCCACCTTTGCGGCAAAGCTGTGACTTTTTTTGAACAATAGTGTTGATGTGTTCTGTTTAATCACTCCCAATACGTTAGCTTTAACTCTGGCAATTCATCTCAAATCAAAGTCACATCAGGGGTACCACAAGGGTCCGTTCTTGGCCCTTTATTATTTTTGATTTTTATTAATGATTTACCACAATCTATTACCTGTAAATTACGTCTCTACGCCAATGACTGCGTTCTATATAACACCATTAACTCCGTTCAAGATCACTATCTTCTCAATGATTCGTTTAGTGCCTTTTGCTCTTGGTGGGACACATGGCAAATGAATATCAATTTCCGTAAAACTGTCTCGATGTCGTTCACTACCAAAACGCAGACTTCCGTTTTCAACTACTCTTTCAATGACCTAATGCTCCAAAGGGTTTCAGATTATAAATACCTTGGCGTGATTTTCACCACTAATCTCTCCTGGTCTAATCATATCAATTCAGTCTGCACCAAATCTCTTAAAAAAACTAGGCTACCTAAGACGTACCCTCAGAACTTCCCCACATGAAACTAAATTACTAATGTACAAAACACTAATTCGTCCAGTTCTTGATTACGCCTCTATCGTTTGGTGTCCGTACAAAAAAAAGAGAAATAAAACAAATTGAATCTGTGCAAAAAAAAGCAATCCGTTTCATTTGTCGACGCTATGACCACCATTTTTCGCCTACATCCGCCATTACTACTTTAAATCTAACCTCACTCTCTATTCGATGCGATATCGAGTCGCTCAAATTCTTGCATGCCATCGTTCACTCAGTTAACCGTCTCTCCGATAACAGCTATCTTACGTATGCTATGCCAACCGTTACTCGAAATAATCATGCCCTAAACCTCGCCCCTTTTTACGCACACACCAATATTTCAAATTTAGCTTTTTTCCTAGAACGATAGAACAATGGAATTTACTGCCGGGTGAGATTAGGAGTGCATCGATAAATCAATTCCTGCCTTCTCTTGGAAGTCGTATCTAACCAATAGTTCCTTGCTTTGTTCTGGTAATATGTACGCCCCGCAGTGCCCATTCATTGGATGTTTATTTTTGTACTGAATGGAATTGCCATGTATATTGTATTTTGTTCGTGTGTTATATTGTAGTGTGTTCCCGGAAGTGATACTTTTGTAATTCACTGCTGTTTTTTTTTCACCCACTCCTGCTATAGCCCTTAATGGGCTGCAGTATGTGAATAAAAAAAAAATGTAGTGGGGGGTCGGCTCGTAGGACCGAAACTGGTCAAGTCTCTCAGGAAGAAGTCGAGCAGACTAGCCGAAGCTGTTAACAGTAAAGTTTATTTACAGCACGCCAAGGAGCCGCCCAGAAAGAGCTCTCATGCCGTGCCCAAACCCCAACGGAGCCGTACATGAGGCACATACAAGATGTCTTAGCCTTGTACCGGCAAGTTGATAGCCAAATGCCGAAAGCCGACAAAGTCAGCCACATTCTGAAAGGCACCGCTGACGACGCCTTTTGCTTGTTTCTGTACAAAGACTGCTCCACCATTGATGACATTATAGCACTCAGAAACGCGGTTCCGAAAACACAGCACGGTTTATTAATGCATCTCCGCCATTGTTCCAACTACTTCTTTCTCCTCAGCAGACTACACACTACTAGCTTATGTCCCAAGAGTGTCGTGCCAGAAGAAGAAGAAAAGTATGCCACAAATAGGCCCCCCTGCAGACAAGTAGCCGTGGGCACTTGAAGAAAAAAAAATGATCAGACGGAGCTTGTCAGAATAAGTGCTGGCTTGATCCATTCAATGCTGACTTTGTCTTCATGCCCATTACGCAGGATTGTAAAATGATGTTCAGAACGCTTGATGACTGGGAAAGGACTGTCATAGCGAAGCTGAAGAGCACGGCGAGACGCATCGACACGAACAAAAACATGTGAAGATGTATGTAGGTTTGCCGGCAAAAAAACGTCGTTCTTAGGGTGGGCTGAAGTTGGCGATAGGCACAAGTTTTGCATGAAGATCCGCAGACGCTGGACGAAAAAAGATGGATCTGAAACACTCTGCGCAGTAAAGGGGCTGACGAGGTCACCAGGCAAACGGAGTGTGCAGCCATAAACCATTTCGGCTACAGAGCAAGCAAGTTCTGGCCGAAGTGTTGAACGCAGGCCGAGAAGCACGATGGGGAGGTGTGATACCCAATCTTCGGCGTGAGGCTGCGAGGAGAGTGCTGCTTTTAGATGACGGCGGAGTCTCTCCACTAAGCCATTTGATGCTGGATAATACGCAGTTGTGCGAATACGCGCACAACCAAGTAGAGATGTGACAGAGGTGAAAAGCGCTGACTCAAACTGTCTGGCTCGATCAGTAGTCACCGTTGATGGTACACCAAAACGGCTTATCCAAGTAGCAAGAAAGGTACGAGCAACTGTTTCTGCCGTGATGTCAGGCATTGGAGCTGCTTCAGGCCACCTAGCGTACCTGTCAATAGACGTAAGCAAATACGTATTTCCCCGAATGAAAGTAATGGCCCGACAATGTCCAAATGAATGGTGTCGAAACGTGCATCAGGGAGAGAGAATTTTCCCCGTGGAGGCTTGGTGTGGCGTTGCACCTTAATAGGCTGACATGCTCTGCAAGTGCGAACTCAGTCACGAATGTTAGCGTGTATGCGCGGCCAGACATAGCGTTCAGTGACCAGATGTTGCGGAGCTCTTACGTTTGGATGGCACATGAAGTGGAGGGTGTCAAAAACAGCACGACGAAGCTGTGAAGGAACATAGATTCGAGTGCAGTTGTGTGAAGCATCGCACCAGAGCGTAACGTCGTCGTCGGGGAAGTTGACTTGTTCCAGTCGGAGGGAAGTAGAGGATCGGAGTCGTGGAAGCTCAATGCCTAATGCCTGTGCCTGCGCGAGCGAGGACAATGAAAGGCCGGTGGTGCCTGACATAGCATTGATGATAATACGACTGAGAGCGTCCGCTGCACTGTTAAAGCTGCCTTTTACATAACGTATGTCTGTGGTGAGTTCGGCAATGAAATAAAGGTGTCGAAGTTCTTTAGGAGTGTGCTTGGCGCTGCAGGAACGTAAAGCCGAAACAAGGGGCTTGTGGTCGGTAAGAATGGCAAATTGTCGCCCTTCAGGGAAGTACCTGAAATGCTTCACCACAAGGTAGGCCGCGAGGAGCTCCCGTCCGAAAGTACTATACCGGCGCTTAGTGTCACGTAACTTGCGAGAAAAGAAGGAAATTGGAGCCCATGCACCATTGATCCATTGATGAAGAGCGGCCCCAACTGCTTCTGAAGAAGCGTCCACCATGAGGCTAGTGGGAGCCGTTGGTGAAGGGTGGTGCAGGAGGGTGGCCTGGGCGAGCTTGGTCTTAACGGCGGCAAAAGCTTGATCCGCGACCGTGTCCCAGGGAAGTGCGGCTGACTCGGCTTGCGAAGTCGAGAGTAGTGCTTCCAGAGGCTGCAGCATTGTAGAGCATGTAGGTAAGAAGCGGCGATAAAAATTCACGAGTCCGAGAAAACGTCGTAGACTGCGTATGGACGTGGGAGGCGGGTACTCGAGGACGTAGCTTGAACCTTGTCAGGTAGAGGAGTGATGCCATCTTTAGTGATCTGATGTCCGAGGAATGCTATCTCCGAGACTCCAAACTGACACTTTTCTACATTGATGACAAGGTCGCAATCACGCAATCGAGCGAAAAGCTGACGTAGATGTGCCTTGTGCGTTTCAGCATCCTCGCTGGCAACGAGAAGATCGTCAATATAGGCGAAACAAAACGGTAAGTCTCTTGTGACTTCGTTTATAAAATGCTGAAATGTCTGAGCTGCATTTCTCAAACCGAAAGGCATTCGTAAATACTCATAGAGCCCAAATGGGGTAATTATTGCAGTTTTGGGAATGTCAGAAGGCTCAACGGGGATCTGGTGATAAGCTTTCACAAGATCAATCTTCAAGTATACAGTTGTGCCGGT